GGGTTGTAAGAGAAGTAATGCAAGGATCTTAGGCATAGAGCTGTGGAGTTAACAGATAAAGAATCTCACACAAAGTGGGAGTTGTCACAGGTGCTCTTTGCTGATGACACTGTGCCTCTTGGGAGATTCTGAAGAGAAGTGCAGAGATTGGTGATGAATTTGGGTAGGGTGAGCCCGCCGAAAATTAAAGGTGATTACAGGGAAAGAGTAATGTTATGAGGTAACGTAAAAAGATTAGGTGATGAAAGATTTGATATCAGATTGGAGGAGAGAGTATGGCGGAGGTGAATGTATTCAGATTGTTGGGGAGTGGAGTGTCACGGGCTGGGTCTTTGAATGATGAGCGTGTATTCTGATTGATGAGGGGGGAAAAGGGTGAGTGGTGCACTAGGAGTCTGTGGAGACAAAGAAACTTTGTCTTGGAGGCAAAGAGGGGAATGTATTGAGAGTATAGTTTACCAACACTCTTATATGGGTATGGAGCATGGGTGATGAATCTTGCAGCGAGTTGAGAAGGGCTGGAGGCAGATGGAGATGTCGTGTCTGAGGGCAATGTGTGGTCGTGAATATAATGCAGAGAATTCGTAGTTTGGAAGTTTAGGAGGAGGTGCAGGATTCGGGCATTACCAAAACTGTTGTCCAGTGGGCTGAGGAATGGGTTGTTGAGGTGGTTAGGACATTGTAGAGAGAATGGAGCGGAAATAGAATGACTTCAAGAGTGTATCAGTCTGTAGTGGAAGGAAGGCGGGGTAGGGGTCGGCCTAGGAAAGGTTGGAGGGAGGGGGGTTTTTTTTGGGGGGTGTTCAAGGAGGTTTTTTTGTGCCGAGGGGCTGGGACTTCCAGCCAGGCTTGGTGAGGTGTTTGATTGGGGATGGAGACAAATGGTTTTTAATACTTGACGTGTGCTGTTGGAGTGTGAACAAAGTAAACATTTTATGATAGGGTTCAGGGAAACCGGCAGGCCGGACTTGAGTCATGGAGATGGGACAGTACAGTGCCTGCAATCTGAAGGAGGGGTGTTATGTTTGCAGTTTAAAAACTTTAGTGTAAAGCAACCCTTTCTAGAGACCATGTGATGGAGGTGAATGATGGTGAAAGTTTTTCTTTTTCGGGCCACCTGCTTGGTGGGATCGGCCAGTGGGATAATAAATAAAAAAAAAATATTACATTATATATTTTTTTTTTTATTTTTTCAACACGTCGGGCCGTCTCCCCACCGAGGCAGGGTGACCCAAAAAAAGAAAGAAAATCCCCAAAAAGGAAAAATACTTTCCTCATCATTCAACACTTTCACCACACGCGCACATTATAACTGTTTTTGCGAGGTGCTAGAATCAAACAGTTCTAGAGATACACACTAAGATACACAACATATCCTCAAACTGCCAATATCCCAACCCCTCCTTTAAAGTGCAGCATTGTACTTCCCATTTCCAGGACTCAAAGTACGACTATATTGAAATAAAACCGGTTTACCTGAATCCCTTCACTATTTATTACCCTGCTCACACTCAACTGATCGTCAGGTCCAAAGGACCATTTTCGTCTCCATTCACTCCTTATCTACACGCTCACGCACGCTTGGCTGGAAGTCCAGCCCCTCTTACCCACAAAACCTCCTTTACCCACCTCCTATCCAACCCTTTCGAGGGACGTCCCCTACCCGCCTTCCTTCCCCTATAGATTTATATGCTTTCCCATCGTTCATTTCTACTTTGATCTCATTCTCTCCTAAATGACCAAACCACTCAACAACCCCTATTCTGCCTCTGGATATACTTTTATTAAACTCCACACTTCTCCTAATTTCCACACTCTGAAGTTTCTGCATAAAATTTACTACCTCAACATTGCCCTTAAACAGGACATCTCCACTGCCTCTCCAAAACCGTCTACCGCGCTGCTGATTTACCACCCAAGTTCACACCCTTTAAGAGTGTTGGTACTTTTACTATACTTTCATCCACATTCCCTTCTTTTGCCTCCATAGATAACGTTTTTTGACTCCAATATACCTCAACGCACACTCCACCTTTTTTCCTCATCCAATTCTATGGATTAACCTCATCATCATAAATCACATCGCCGACACCTGTCAACTCCAGGTAATCTGAAACATTTCATTATTCCATACTCTTCCTCCCCAATTGATATCCAATTTTTTCTTTATCTACAATCTATTTGACACCATCATCACCTTACTCTTTTTCTATGTTCACTTTCAACTGTCTACTTTACACACATTCCAAACTCATCAACTAACCTTTGCAATTTTCTTTAGAATCTACCCATAAGACAGTATCATCAGCAAAAAGTAACTGTGTCATTTCCATTTGAATTTGATTCCCCCCCATAATAAATCCACCCCTCTCCCAAACACCCTGCATTTACTTCTTTACAAACCCATCTATTATTATATTAAACACACCATGGTGACATACACCATCCCTGTCTATGACCCTACGTTTACGGGAGAGTAGTCTCCCTTCTTACACACCCTAACCTGAGGGCTCACTATCCTCATAAAAACTCTTTACAGATTTAATAACTACCACCTGTTATTATTACTTGCAACATCGGCCACATTTGGCTCCTCTATCCACTCTATCATATGCCTTTTCATAAATCCATAAATGCAATAAAAACTTCCCTATCTTTATCTAAATACTGTTCACATATATGCTTCAATGTAAACAACCTGATTACCCCACATCCCCTATCCACACATCTAAATCCTCCTTGCTCAATCCGCAATCCTACATTCTGTCTTAACTCTAATTCTTTCAATTATAACCTACCGTTACACTGTTTTCCTGGTATTACTCAGTTAAGCTTATTCCTCTATAATTTTTTACAGTCTCTTTTGTCCCCTTTCCCTTTATATAAAGGGGGGACTATACATGCTTCTCTGCCAATCCCTGGTACTTCCCCTCTTTCATCCATTTATTAAACAAAAGTACCAACCACTACAACACTATATCCCCCCTGCTTTTAAATTTCTGTTCTTGATCCCTCTTCAGTTAAAGCTGCTTTACCCCCTTTCATTTTACTGTAATGCCTCACGTACCTCCCCACACTTCATTCTGCTCTTCTTCACTCCTAAAATGATGGGATATACCTCCCTGACCAGTGCATGAAAATTATGCCTCTGTTTCTTCCTTACATTTTAAAAAGTTCCTCTAAATATTCACGCCATCTACCCAAATACCTCCAGCTCCCCCATTACTAAACTCCCCTATCTGTTTTTAACTGACAAATCCATATTTCTCCTCTAGGCTTTCTTAACTTGTTTAACTCACTCCAAATATTTTTCTTATTTTCATTAAAATTTCTTGACAAGTGGCCTCTCCCACTCTATCATCTGCTCTTCCCTTTTGCACTCTCTCACCACTCTCTTTACCTTTCTTTTTATCCTCCATATTCTTCTCTTCTTTATAACACTTCTACTTTGTAAAAACCTCTAATAAGCTACTTTTCTCTTTTATCACACCCTTTACTTCATCATTCCACCAATCACTCCTCTTTCCTCCTGCCCCCACCCTCCTATAACCACAAACTTCTGCCCACATTCTAATACTGCATTTTTAAAACTATTCCAACCCTCTTCAACCCCCCCACTACTCATCTTTGCACTAGCCCACCTTTCTGCCAATAGTCGCTTATATCTCACCCGAACTTCCTCTCCCTTAGTTTATACACTTTCACCTCCCTCTTACTTGTTGTTGCCACCTTCCTCTTTTCCCATCTACCTCTTACTCTAACTGTAGCTACAACTAAATAATGATCCGATATATCAGTTGCCCTCTATAAACATGTACATCCTGGAGCCTACCCATCAACCTTTTATCCACCAATACATAATCTAATAAACTACTTTCATTACATGCTACATCATACCTTGTATATTTATTTATCCTCTTTTTCATAAAATATGTATTACTTATTACCAAATTTCTTTCTACACATAGCTCAATTAAAGGCTCCCCATTTACATTTACCCCTGGCACCCCAAATTTACCTACTACTCCTTCCATAACATTTTTACCCACTTTAGCATTGAAATCCCCAACCACCATTACTCTCACACTTGATTCAAAACTCCCCACGCATTCACTCAACATTTCCCAAAATCTCTCTCTCTCCTCTACACTTCTCTCTTATATATACATATATATATATTTATATATATATACACCTACCATCCGACTTACGACCTGCTCGACTTACGACCACTCGACTTACGACCGTGTTTTTTTTGGCAAATTTCTGGGAAATAAACAACTATTTGTGTTGTACACAGTGTTTATCCTAAACCTTACAGTATAAAATACAGTACTAACAGCATAAGAAGTAAAGTAAAACATGAAATACCAAAATAAAAAAATAAAATAAAGTCATTACAAAAATGTGATGTTGATATTCAGTAGTAAAGTTCGAATTACGTCCATTTCGACTTACGACCGGTTTCTCGGAACCAAACTCAGTCGTAAGTCGGATGGTTGGTAGGTAGGTAGGTAGGTATATGTATGTATGTGTATATGTATGTATATGTATGTGTGTATATATATATATATATATACATGTATATATATATATATATAATATATATATATATATATATATATATATATATATATATATATATATATATATATATATATATATAATATATATATACATATATATACATATTACATATATATATATATACATTTTTTTTCAACAAGTCGGCCGTCTCCCACCGAGGCAGGGTGACCCAAAAAGAAAGAAATTCCCCAAAAAGAAAATACTTTCATCATCATTCAACACTTTCACTTCACTCACACATAATCACTGTTTTTGCAGAGTTGCTCAGAACACAACAGTTTAGAAGCATATACGTATAAAGATACACAACATATATATATATATATATATATATATATATATATATATATTATATATATATATATATATATATATATATATATAATATATATATTATATACACACACTATACAGTTACTAAGACCACACCGTTAAACAAATTCATCACTAAGTGAGGAGCATACTATAATGGTAGTGAGTTTGTGTCAACCATCTTTGATACTGTTTTAATGTCACCTTTACACCATTTATAACATTTCTGGTATATTTTTAAATGTTTATACAGTAGTGTACTGTATAATGAAATAAACAGAATAGAGAAAAATCAGCTCTAATATACATTATTTAGGTATGAATACTGGTCAGAGAGCCTGTCGTAAGTCTGAGGCATTGGTAAACGAGTACATCTCTAAGTGAGGGGAGGGTGTGTGTGTATAAGACACATTAAACACCTAAGCTGGAACACTGCAAACTTAGCTCTGCTTCTGCAGTTACAGACAGGTACAATAATTATGAACATATGTACCTCCTGTGACATCAAAGACAATGGACTGCCAAAACCAGTGATGCATTATTTAAAGACTATGCTATACTAAGTGGAAATAAAACAAGTTAAAAAACTGATGTATAGTACTGGTGCAATACACCAATATTTGACACCTAAGATAAGATTCAAATTTATTGCTGCTATTGTGGATTAACTTCCATAACAAAGCACAGTAATATATTGCATAGGTATACAGTAAATATACTCTTAATATGCATAAAACAATAAACATTACATATTCTTTACACATTTACATAAATAGCTAAATTTAAACAATAGTAAATTAAATAATCAGATTCTAAGAGCTTGGTCAGCTGTCAGGTACATCTCTCAGTCCTTATTCATACAATACCTACAGTTCAAAGATATGACTGGCAGTGGCTAATTATCTTAAGATGTTAAGCTCTTTTGGTCTGTCTGTTAATTTTTCTTTTATTTTTAGCTAAGACAAATTTAATGAAGGTTTAAAGTAATCAACTATTTTTGTGGGCTCTTCCTGGGACTTCTATGAAGAAAAACTTTCCTGAATCGTACCTGAGGCAGTCTTTGGTGAAGTACTTGTAATATTACATAAATATATTATTTACAAATTGCCTCAAATTATGATGTATTTTCTGATGTTATCACTACAACACTTTGTGCAGCTGAACTTGAAATCCCTAAATTCAACTTCCTTTTTACTTGATGCCTCTTGACAGGAACTATCACTCTGTCATTTGTAGGATGAGTTTCTGATGATGTCACTAGGGAACCTGATACAATTGCTGCACTTGAAGGCTTGTCATTATACTTAATGTTTTCTTCACTGTTGTCCACATTTGGAAAAGACAATTTATTTGGAATTTTGTTACACATTTCTGGTGATGACACTCTCATTTTCTTTCTACCTATATTTTCCTTCTCTGTTATGCAAATTATTGGTGACAACTGTCGTTTCTGAGGATAAATGGGTTTCTCTTTAATGGGAGACATGAATGGTAATTCAGGGAGTGCTTTGGCCTTTCTCTCAGAATTTCTCTCTCTTGGTAACTTGTTACTGGCATTCTTCAAAGGCTTTTTGCAGGGTACAGAACTTGAAGCTTCACTATCACTGTGCACAACCGAGATGACATTTTGAACATTTACACATGTTAACTTACTTTCTGAAGCAGTATTTGCCATAAAATTTCCCACTCTTCTCCGTCTATACCGAACAACAGTTTCTATTACTGAACTAGATTTGCCTGTAGATGATGGTACTGATTTTTGCTTTACACAAACCACTTGATTGCATGAATTACCAAGCCTTGTTTCTATGCTGTTAGTCTGATATTTCTTATTCTCCAACAACTGACTCTGAATAAGATCTGACTGTATAATTTCTTGGCTTACATTACTGGTAGCAAGTAAATTTCTTTGCCTGTTACCCTTTCGTTCTATCCCAGTCTCAGCTGTCTCTAAATACCCAGTTTTTTCCTTGGGGGCTGACATTCTGGTCTTAATTCCAGAGATATCTATGTCCTCAGAATTTATTACAGAAACATCTGGCCTAGCTTTAGCAGAGTCATCTTGAGCTTTCTCAGTGAAGCAGGAGTTTGGAGAGGCATGCAGAATATTCTTTATCTTGTTTCCAGGATCACTATAAGAGGTTGAGAGAGTTATTCTGCAAGGTGACTCATGTGGAGTTTTTCTGCAGAGTGATTTACATGGAGTTTTTCTGCACGGTGATTTATGTGGAGTCTTTCTACAAGGTGACTTATGTGGAGGTTTTCTGCAAGGTGACTTATGTGGAGTTTTTCTGCTGGACAACTTGCATGGAGTTCTCTTGAAAGGTGACTTATGTGGTGCTTTCCTACAGGGTGACTTATGGGCCTTGTGTGGTGTTTTTTGCAAGGTCTCTATTAAAGACCGAGGTGATTCTTGTCCAGTCTCTCTAGGAGGAAGTTCATCAGAAATTTTACTTGACAATGGATTATTCAAAATAGGCAGCAGGTTGCTAGTTGTTTCCTCAAGTTTTTTCACTGAATCTAGAGTTAAGTCCTTCATGTTATTTTTATTTTCATCGTCCAAACCAAAATGTTTTCCATCAGAAAGGTTTGTAATATCAACTTCTGAGTTAGTATCAGATCCTGAAGAAGAGCTGCTGCAGCAGCTACTGCTACTGCTATCACACTTGCTACACTCACAATCACTGTCAGAATCTGAATCACTGGAGCTGCTAGAGGAGTTGCTATCATCACTGTTTCTTGATCCATGTCCTGTCTGCACAAGATGCTCTGCCTCACTGTTGGTATCAGGAGAGAACAGTGAACCCAAGTCCTGTGTGATACCTAAACTCATATTGGTATTGTTGGATTCATATTTTTTATGAGTCTGGGTACCACTAGCAGAGGTTATATTGCAACTGTTATTTTCCTGATTAGTAATGCAACTACGCGAATTTGCAACCTCAATTTTGTCCCTAATATTACTTGTTTTACCTGTACTGTGTTTGGTGAGATTTGACTCTTTCTCTCTGATGTCATTCTCAGAGACTTGCTTGTCACTGTATGTAAATTGCAAGTTAATTGACTGATTAACCTCTTTTACTCTAGCATCAGTGTCTTGAGTTGGTGTGCAATCCAAATTTACTGCAGGAATGTTTCCTGAATTGCTTATATTAACACTTTCACTCACTGTAGCAAATGGGTCATCAATTTCCTTCCTATTAAAACTTGCCATAGTCTTGTTAAAAAGTTGTTGTTCTGAAATTTTACCCTTCAGGCCTCTAGAGGCAGACTTATTGGGAATATGTGCAGTTTTCTGAGAAAGACCATTAGTCTTGGATTTAATGTTTACTTCATTATTCTCTACACTACATAATTTATTTTTGCTATTAATAGTACTCTCACCTAATTTAGTAGCTTCAGACTTACTGTCTATTTGATGTTTTCCAATATCCTCTACTGTGACTTCTGACTCATCATTAATAAATTGCAAAAGGGACATTTCAGAGTCATTACTTGAACTGTCATGGCAAAAAGAATATTTTTCATTGTGCCTCTGAACAATCATATCAATTGTGTCATCATTACTTGATGCTGACCCATAAACTGATGGCAGGATCATTTTATCAGTTTTTGACTGCTGTGGGACATCTTGGGAGAGATCAGTGGAGTAGAATGTAGAATCCTCAATAATACCTTTAGTGTCATATGATTCTCTTCTGTGATTTTTTGTCATAGTTTCTCTGGAGTTTTCAACTGACTTAATCTTACTCTTCACCTCTCCTGAAATCTTACCAAGCTCCTTATTTTCGTCACAATTTTTTATCCCAGAAACTATCTCTTCTTTACAAACATTAACCCCTTTATAATTAGCTACCCTCTTGGATGACCTAATTTGCTTATCTACACACAAATGTTTATTTTCCTTAAGCAAATTTTCTTGATAATGTAGCTCCTCATCCTTTGTTTCATTAGAGATTTTTTTACTTTCTGGCCTGTGAGCTTTCAGCCTCTTGTCTACTGCAATCTCCTGTTTTAATTCATTCTCTTTATTTAAAATAGTACTATTAGCTTGACCCTTATCCGATTTCTTTATTTCTGATATTAGAGCTTCACATTCATCATCCTCATCATCTAATTCTCCTTCTTCTTTTTCTTCTTCTACCTGGGAATATTTTGAAGGAGTCTGGGACAGCATTATCTGCAATAATTTACTATCAACTGGTATCTTAGAGGACTTACTTTTCACTGCATCTTTGTCCCCCAAAGTTTCCTTGCTGTGGTACTTGTTACCTAATACATCCTTCTCATTGAAGCCCATCCTCCTATTCCTATGAATTTCTCTATCTTGAATATTACTGGCAGAACGATCCCTGTGTCTTACATCAGCAGACTGAATTCTTAGTCTAGTGCTCATTCTCTTGCTACTCTCTTGCTCTGGTGAAGCATGCCTCCTGTGCCTTATAAAATTTTCATTTTCATTATCACTATTTGATGGCCTACTCAAACGGCTCTTTATTGATCCTCTCTTTCTCTTAGTTGGTATTTCATCCAAACTATCCTGCCATTCTTTTCTCTTGAGAATGCCTCTTTCAGCCTTACCCTGAGGTGAACAGCAATTTTTATCCCTATATGTTGTGTCTTCTATCATCAGCTCTTCAGTTTTCCTGGTTAGATGTCTACCTTCATTTGTTCTCTGTGGGCTAGCACTACATCTCTGCAGTGATGCATGAGGCCTATCATTTCTTTGTGACACAGGGCTTATTATTTTTTGCTCCTGAAGGCTCTTCCTATCCACTTTGTTGGTTTTTTCTCTCTGCAATTTAGAAGTCCTTGTTCTTACAGGCCTACTATTTTCTCTTTTCTGTGGAAATTCTTGCACACCACTCTTCTTAGAATGCATCTTGTTTTCCCTGAACATTAAAGGGCTAATGCTCTCATCAGTCCCTGAAATATTTGTTTTCTCAATGTTCTGGGTTACTATTTTAATCCTATTATCAAGTCTTTCAGGATGGCACATCTTTCGGGGAGATTTGTTCTTTAAGCAAATCTTCTCGTCTCTTAAATCTTGGAAATTGGAGTCATCATCTCTTGAAGAACAGCTTTTAGATTTATTTTGCAATGTCTTTTCTGTGTAATCATTAGAAGTACTTTTCCTTCCATCACACACTCTGTTTTTAAAACACAATCTCTCATGAACACTTTTGTTTTTACGTACTTTCTTATCCAATGGTTCCTTAATTTCCTGATTATTTTCCTTATCCACCTGTTCCTTGCCAGACTGTTCTCCAATTTCCTGAATATTTTTCTTGACCAACGGTTCCTTAATTTCCTGAACATTTTTCTTGTCGGCCTGTTCCTCAATTTTCTTATTATTTTCCTTGTCAGGTTGTTCTCTAATTTCTTGAATATTTTTCTTGTCCAACTGTTCCTTACTGTTTTCCTTGTTAGACTGTTTTCCAATTTCCTGAACATTTTTCTTGTCCAACTGTTCCTTAATTCCATTACTTTTCTTGTCCAAACATTCACTACTTAATTGTGCATACACTTTCTCATCATGTGCATTTCTGTTGGGCAAAGTATTAGCTTCAGTACTTTTATTTTGAGTGCTACATATATCATCTCTCCCCCCCAATGTATTAATGTTTACCTTAAAATTTAACTCATCTATATAGTGAAAAGAGTCATCATTTTCACTATCATCCGTTTCTCCATCATACATAAGCTCTTCTTCCTGTGGAAAAATGCTCTCCTCACCTCTAGGGTCATGTATGTTATGTAATGTGTTTTCTCCAAGCTCACTGTCAAACACCTGGTTTTCTTCTTGTTCTTCTCCAGCAGATTTAATATTTAACAGTATGTCTCTCTCAGTACTGTGTATCTCTCTTTCACTACTGTGTATGTCTGTTTCACTACTGTGTATGTCTCTTTCACTACTGTATACACCTCTATTGTTACTGTGTATGTCTCTTTCACTACTGTGTACATCTCTCTCATTACTGTGTACATCTCTTTCATTGTATGTCTCTCTTTCACTACTGTGTACATCTCTCTCATTACTGTGTATATCTCTTTCATTACTGTGTATGTCTCTTTCACTACTGTGTACATCTCTTTCACTACTGTGTATGTCTCTTTCACTACTGTGTACATCTCTTTCACTACTGTGTACATCTCTTTCACTACTGTGTACATCTCTTTCATTACTGTGTATGTCTCTTTCACTACTGTGTACATTCCTTTCATTACTGTGTTTGTCTCTTTCACTACTGTGTATGTCTCTTTCACTACTGTGTATGTCTCTTTCACTACTGTATACACCTCTATTGTTACTGTGTATGTCTCTTTCACTACTGTGTACATCTCTCTCATTACTGTGTACATCTCTTTCATTGTATCTCTCTCTTTCACTACTGTGTACATCTCTCTCATTACTGTGTATATCTCTTTCATTACTGTGTATGTCTCTTTCACTACTGTGTATGTCTCTTTCACTACTGTGTACATCTCTTTCACTACTGTGTACATCTCTTTCACTACTGTGTACATCTCTTTCACTACTGTGTACATCTCTTTCATTACTGTGTATCTCTCTTTCACTACTGTGTACATTCCTTTCATTACTGTGTATGTCTCTTTCACTACTGTGTACATTTCTTTCATTGTATATCTCTCTTTCACTACTGTGTATTTCTCTTTCACTATGTATGTCTCTTTCATTACTGTGTACGTCTCTTTTGCCAATGTGCACATCTCCTTCACTAACATGTACTTTATTTTTATTACTATGCATGTTTCCTTTGTTGCTGTGTATATTTCTTTCACGATTGTGCATGTCTCTGATTCTTTCTGCTTCTCCTTCAGAAGCACTGTGTAATCCTTGAAATGCAATATTTTCCTGCATTTTTTCATTTTTTAGTGATATCAAATATTTTTCTCTTATATCTAAATTTTGCTTTTTCTCTTCTAACTGGCATATTTGCATTTTTCTGCATTCTGAACTAATGTTTTGCTCCACTTCTAACCTTTCATATTCCTCAGTTTTCTGTTTACAATTATCACTTGTTTCAGCCCCGAGCTGCTTCTCTGCCAATGCTTCAGCCTGCTTGAATTTTACAACTTTCCCAGACACTTGTGATTCTTCATCCTTTGTCTTCATATTTCTAGCTTTTCCCTTTGACTTCATTTCATTTCTCTTTCTCTCTCCTGACTTCATATTTCTTTCTTCCTCAATTAATATTATTTTTCTTTCATCTTTCTTTGACTTCACTTTTCCTTTTTCTTCCTTAGATTCTATTCCTTTTCTTTTCTCATCCTTTAATTTCACTTTTCCTTCTTCATCTTCCAATTTTTCTATACTTTCCTTTGATTTATTTTTTTTTCGTTTTCCCTCTTTTGATTTAGTTCCTTTTCTTTCTTTACAGATTGACTTTACATCACTTTTCAGTTCTTCTTCTGACCCTTTTCTTGTTCCTACTTTTGATGATACATTTCTCTTTTCTTTCTGATATTTTATATCTTTTCTGGGTCTTCCTTCAGATCCTGTCCTCTCCTTGTTCTCTTCTGGCTTCTCTGTATTATGCTCCTGATTTTTTTTCCTTCCCTCCTTTTCTTTTGCTTGTTTCTTTTCTTCAAAAGTTACTTTAGTTTTTTCTGCTTTCCTTGTTTCTTCCATATGATCTTTCTTGTTTGTATTATCACTCTTTCTTTCTCTGCATTCTAGTCTGTCTTCTATAATAGTTTTGTGTCCATGTTTAGGTAAACTTTCATCTGCTGTACTTCTGTCTTTCAGTTCTAAATTCTCTGGGCAAAAATCACTAGAAGTACTGAGATCTTTCTCTCTATTCAATACTTTTGGTTTGTTAGGGTATAACAGTATGATTTTCTTTAAATTCTTTCCATGTTCTGTGTCCAATTCTCCCTCAAGTATTTTTCTCAATACTTCAGGTTCTTTAATTTTTGTGGTTTCACTGTAGGAAGACTCTTTCATGCCTGTTCTCATAATACTGTCTACATTAGAAGGTATGCCATTCACCCCCATTACTTCTAATTTTTGAAGTCTTCCATCATCCACCTGTGTTTTGTTTTCACCTTCTGGACTATTAATGACCATGCAGGCATTTGAATCTTTGGAACTAATGTCTTTTAAATGCAGTTCACATTTTTTTCCTGCTCTGTTTTTACCTTTCTCTTTCAACTGTGTGTGGCAGCTTTTATTCTGTGATTTATATTCATGGCATACAGACCTTGTTCTTTCTGAATCTGAGAAACTAGAAATATCTCTCAGATTTTTAGGGTTATCAGATGGATTCCTCTTGATTTCAAGTTTTTTTTGCACAATATGCACCCCTTCATGAACAACGGGTTTTACACACTCCACATTATTTACTTCACTTTCTTTATCTCCTTTTTGTGTAAGAGAATGCATACTACATATTACCAAATTATCATTTACTTTATTATCTGTTAATTTTAACAATGAACGAGAATCAGTACCAGAATTTTCTGCTAAAGACTGCCTTGAGACTAAATTAACATTAGACACTGTTTGTGATTTTTTCATGTTTTTAAATTTAGCTGCCATTCTCTGACCAAAGAGTGATTTTGTCAACATTTCATCTTCTTGTAATGCACTGGAATTTTCATTTTCTGTAAAATTACAAGTCTTGTCTTTCTTCCAAGCTTCTTTTTGTTCTTCAGGCACTGTGTGAGAATCTGTACTCAATGAATTTTTAACCCTAGCTGCATCACTTGTGTCAGTGGAACCTTTCATATCCAAGCTTCCTGCTTCTTGAAGCTCACCTGTTGCATCTTTCTCTCTAAAACTACCATTACTCTTGTTTTTGGCTTCAGTATTCAATAATCCCGGAGTATGCAAATGTATATTATTAGATTTGTAAAGTATTTTGACATGTTTATCACTCTGAGCAGCAGCTGGGACATCAACTGGGTAATTGGCCTCATTTTGATTTAAAGCTTCTCTATTCCCTAACCTAGAAAACACACTTATTCTGCCACTTTTGTCATCATTACATGTTTTTGACCTATCATGGTTATAGTCAATTGGATAATTAATATTTCTTTGTAACTTTTCACCCTCATAACTAGAAATAAAACTCTGATTTTCTGAATTCACTTGATCCCATGACCTCCTAAATAACCTAGTCCTACTCATATCAACTTTCTCCTCATAGTATGTAACTCTTTCTCCTAGTTTTCCCATCATGCTCTGGAGACTGCGGGCATCATTGTCTGTGGGGGAGCTAATGCGCTCTCCTCTTACACTACGCTGAATCTGTTGGATAACATTTCCTTTTCTGGCAAAAGTCAATTCTCTCTTACCACAAGCACATTCTTTTCCCTCCTTCTGCAGACTCTGGAACACAAAGAAATTGAATTTCACTTTTTTTAAATTAGTTTAAATCACATTTTGCCAATTATTATTATTATTATAATCAAAAAGAAGCGCTAAGCCACAAGGGCTATACAGCGCTGCAGGGTAGGGAAGGAAGCAAGGGAATTGGATGGCAGAAGGGAGGGGGGATGATCAGCAGGTTACAGAAAACAGCGGGGCAGGGGATAGTACGGGGGTAGAGGGTAGCAAGAGATTGAAGTAGAAAGGGCTGAAGGTATCAGAATTTGTGAAGTAAGTCAGTCGTTGTCAAAAAGTCAATGAGAGAGTCCGGATGAAAGGTGGGTCCATCAGCGAGAAGGGAAGGTAAAGAGAGAGCAGCGGAGCGAAGACGACGACAGAGGTAAATTCTGCGTGCTCGTTGATAAAGTGGGCAGTCCAACAGAATGTGGCTGACTGATAATGGAGCTTGGCAATTCTCACAGAGAGGAGCAAGACGCCTCTCCATGAGATATCCATGAGTAAGACGAGTATGGCCAATGCGAAGACGGGAGAGAGTAGTCTCCCAACCTCGACACTGGTGATAAGAAGACGGCCAGTAACCTATACTCGGTTTAATAGACTGAAGTTTGTTGCCGAGCATAGTAGACCAACGTTGTTGCCAACGGGTGTGAGGTGGAAGATATTGCAGCAAAATAGTCCGTAAATGGAATACCTCTATAAGAAACTGGTAGGTCATGTACTGCTGACCGCGCAGCAGTGTCTGCCTGTTCATTGCCCTGTACGTCAACATGACCAGGGACCCAACAAAAAACAATATCTTTATGCTTGGTAAAGATGCGGCGTAGCCAAAGTTGGATACGGAGGACTAAGGGGTGAGGTGTATCAAATTTTTGTATAGCCTGTAAAGCACTAAGGGAGTCTGAGACAACCACAAATGATGACACAGGCATAGATGCAATACGGATAAGTGCTGTAAGGATGGCATATAATTCAGCAGTAAAAATACTAGCCGAAGATAGTAAATGCCCTTGTACGATGCTGTCCGGAAACACTGCTGCGAATCCTACGCCGTCAGAAGACTTAGAGCCATCTGTGTACACAGCAATGGCATGAGAATGAGAGTGAAAGTGGTCAAGAAAAAGAGAGCGGGAAGCGACCGTAGACAGTTGGGCTTTCGAGCAAGGGAGGGAGAAAGAACAGACTCGAACAGCTGGAACTTCCCAGGGGGGTAGGGAAAAGTGAGATGCTACATGTACATAGAAAGGTGGTAGTTGAAGAGAAGACAAGAGCGAATGAAGGCGAAGAGAGAAGGGACACAGTAAACAGGGGCGGCGAACAAATAAAGAATGTCTACTAATATCAGTGACCATTCTATAAATGGAAGGATTGCGGAGATCATGAGAGCGTACATAGTAGCGCAGGCAATGGGCATCACGGCGATCGGATAAGGATGGAACGTTCGCTTCTGCATAGAGGCTCTCGACAGGGGAAGAGCGAAAAGCACCAAGGCATAAACGTAATCCTTGGTGATGAATGGGGTTAAGGCTAGAGAGAGTAGCAGGAGATGCCGCTGAATAGATCTGGTCACCATAATCAAGTTTCGATAAAATAAGGGTGGAATGTAGGCAAAGGAGGGTTCGACGATCAGCTCCCCACGAAAGATGAGCAAGGGTTTTAAGAAGGTTCAGCCGGCTGTGACAAGTTGCCTTCAGAGAGGTAATGTGAGGTTTCCAGGATAACCTACGATCAAAGAGGAGGCCCAGAAACTTGACTGTATCACGTTCAGGGATACGGGAGCCATAGAGGTACAAAGGATGATCGGAGATTACAGAGCGTCTAGTGAAAGTGATTTGGTGGGTTTTAGTGCTGGAAAATTTAAACCCACGTGTGGTGGCCCAATTGGAAACACGGTCGACTGCATGTTGGAGAGAAACTGTAAGGAGGTGACAGTCAGCGCCTGCACAGGCAATAGCGAAGTCATCAACATAGAGTGATGACCAAATATTTGATGGAAGACTAGAGGCCAAATCATTAATAGCAAGGAGAAAAAGTGTTGTGCTCAGAACACATCCCTGGGGGACACCTTCAGCTTGGATAAAGTCCGGGGAGAGCACATTATTAACCCGAACACGGAAATGCCTGTCAGTTAAAAAGTTCTTAACCCTTTCAGGGTCCGTCCCGTAGATCTACGGCTTTACGTTCAGGGTCCAAACCGTAGATCTACGCCATGAGCTCAGCTCACTCTGATAAACTGTGAGTGGTACATTTGGGCCTAGATATGAGAGAATACATCTATGTGGTATGTGTGCACCACATAAAACACATCCTGCAGCACACTGTGCATAATGAGAGAAAAAAAATGAAATCATGATTTTTCGATTAAAACAGCAACTTTGCAGTGTTTTTTCGTATGTTTTTTATAGTTGTATTTGCGATTTCTTGGTCTCATTTGATAGAATGGATGACATATTACAGAAATAGAGATGATTTTGATTGGTTTTAGCATAGGAAATGGCTTGAAACTGAGCTCAAAGTAGCGGAAATGTTAAATATTTGCCGATATTCAAGAGTAAACAAACGACCTCACACGTCTAATACACATCAGCTGGTGGGTCTAATATACATTCACAAATATGGTGATGATATTTATACAATTATTACAGTATTGCATAACAGTAAATCTTCTATTTTTTGGTGTGAATAAAAATTCATTATGTGAATAAAAAATCAAAATGGAATTTATTTGTAAAGCCTCAAAACATAACTAATGAACAGAGGAAATGTTAGTTTAGTGCCAGGAATGCCTACATTGTTCATTCTCGACCCTATTTTGAAATTGGAATATTTTGAACTTTGTGTTAAATTGGCCAAATTAACAAATTCCGATCACTTTATTTTGTAGTTGAAACAGTTGACTTGGCGATTTCTTGTGCTCAGTCGATAGAATAGAAGTAATACTAGTGAAATAGCTAAGAATTTGGTTGATTGGAATAATGTAATTGGCCTAAAATGGGAGTCAAAGTCGGCAAAATCGCCGATTCGTAAATATCGCTGACACATCAAAATTCGCGAGAGCATAATTTCATCAATTTTCGTCCAATTTTCGTACTTTTTGTTTTATTACCTTCACAAAAAGATTCTCTACGATTTCATAAGAAAAAATAACAAATTTTTTTTTTTAAATATCTTGGACACTGGTGCGTGACTCCAGATTTGGGCCTTGGACCCTGAAAGGGTTAAGAAAGGATGGTAGATTGCCTCGAAGGCCTAAGGAGTGGGCTTGGGCTAAAATATTATACCTCCAAGTTGTGTCATTTGCCTTCTCAAGGTCAAAAAATATGGCAATTACTGAGTGGTTATTCGCAAAGGCATTACGAACATACGTATCCAAGCGTAGTAAGGGGTCTATGGTAGAACGTCCCTTACGAAAGCCATATTGACGAGTGGAGAGACTGTTGTGTGTCTCTAAATACCACACTAAACGTCTATTTACTAGGCGTTCCATTACTTTGCAAACTGCACTGGTAAGAGCAATGGGACGATAGTGGGAGGTTTCATGTCCCGTAGTGCCTGGTTTGCGGAAAGGGAGAACAATGGCGGATTTCCACAGCTGTGGAAGAACTCCTTGTGACCAAATAAGATTGTAAAGGCGTAATAGGACTGCAAGGGCTGACTGATGTAAATGTTGTAGCATACAAATATGAATGTCGTCGGGCCCAGCTGCCAATGATCGACAAGCTGAGAGTGTTGCCTCCAGTTCTTGAAGTGTAAAAGGCACATTATACTGTTCTTCTCTGAGAGAAGAAAAGTCCAAGGGTGCTAACTCTCTGGCAGACTTTGAGGAAAGAAATGAGGGGCATAGATGGAGTCCCTGAGAAATACGGACCAGATGATTGCCAATTTCATTGGCAACATCTAGTGGGTTTGCTATATCAACACCGGCAACCCGCAGAACAGGAGCCGGGTCAGGAGAATATTTACCACTCAGTTTTCGTACTTTTTTCCAGACTGCACTCATAGAGGAAGCAGAGGTGATGGTGGAGACATAATCTCGCCAGCAAGTGCGTTTAGCGTCACGGATGACACGGCGAGCGATCGCACGCTTCTGTTTAAAATCAAGGAGTCGCTCTGTGGTTCTATTGTACCGGTACCTGCCCCATGCAGCGCGTTTCAAACGTACTGCACGAGCACAAGCAGGAGACCACCAAGGCACGCATTTCTGAGAATGTCTGCCCGAAGTTTGGGGTATAGAATGAGAAGCTGCGGTGAAAACGGAGGACGAGAAGAGATGTAAAAGCTCATCGATGGAGGACAAAGAAGGAACCTCTTTAAAAACAGTTAGGTGTGAGTAAAGGTTCCAATTTGCCCGATTAAATTGCCAGCGTGGGGTGCGAAGAGGTGGCGAATATGAAGGGGAAGTAAGAATGATTGGGAAATGATCACTGTCATGTAAGTCCGGGAGAACAGACCAAGTGAAGTCTAATGCAGAGGAGGAAGAGCAGACTGAGAGATCGATGCAAGAGAGAGTATGAGTCCGAGGATCAAAATGGGTGTGAGTACCTGTATTTAAAACATGGAGGGGGTGGGTGGCAAGAAAAGCCTCTAACTGAATTCCACGGGAATCACAGTGAGACCCCCCCCCAGAGGAAATGGTGGGCATTAAAATCACCAAGTAACAGAATCGGTGGCGGTAATGACGAAACAAGGAAGGCAAAATCCGGAATAGATAATGCCCGAGAAGGAGAGAGATATAAAGAACAGAGCGTATACCACCTATGTAAGTGGATACAGGCTGCTGTGTAATGGAGCGAAGTATGAACAAATAGCTGATGGTACGGAATATCAGTGCGGAGAAGAAGGGCACTTTCATTAAAGGTCCCATCAGGAAAAGGATCTGAAGAATACAATAAATTATAGCCTGAGATGTGAGAAATAACAGCAGAGTGTAATTTTGGTTCCTGTAAGCAAACACCAACAGGGGCAAACTGGGAGAGTAACATCTGAAGCTCACCCCGATTACC